ATATGACCTAGAGGCAATAATAAATGATTATTATTATATTTCCTTGTTCATGATAATTGTCTATTGTTCATGCGATAATTGTATTAACTGAAAACAGTGATACATGTGTGAATACATAGAGTATAATATGTCCCTAGTGAGCCTCTAGTTGACTAGCTCGTTGATCAACAGATAGTCATGGTTTCCTGACTATGGACATTGGATGTCATTGATAACGGTATCACATCATTAGGAGAATGATGTGATGGACAAGACCCAATCCTAAGCATAGCACAAGATCGTCTAGTTCGTTTGCTAAAGCTTTTCTAATGTCAAGTATCAATTTCTTAGACCATGAGATTGTGTAACTCCCGGATACCGTAGGAGTGCTTTGGGTGTACCAAACGTCACAACGTAACTGGGTGACTATAAAGGTGCACTACATGTATCTCCAAAAGTGTCTGTTGGGTTGGCACGAATCGAGTCTGGGATTTGTCACTCCGTATGACGGAGAGGTATCTCTGGGCCCACTCGGTAATGCATCATCATAATGAGCTCAATGTGACCAAGTGGTTGGTCACGGGATCATGCATTACGGAATGAGTAAAGTGACTTGCCGGAAACGAGATTGAACGAGGTATTGGGATACCGACGATCGAATCTCGGGCAAGTAACGTACCGTGTGACAAAGGGAATTGTATACGGGATTACTTGAATCCTTGACATCGTGGTTCATCCGATGAGATCATCGTGGAACATGTGGGAGCCAACATGGGTATCCAGATCCCGTTGTTGGTTATTGACTGGAGAGCTATCTTGGTCATGTCTGCGTGATTCCCGAACCCGTAGGGTCTACACACTTAAGGTTCGGTGACGCTAGGGTTATTAGGAAGACTTGTATGTGATAACCGAATGTTGTTCGGAGTCCCGGATGAGATCCCAGACGTCACGAGGAGTTCCGGAATGGTCCGGAGGTGAAGATTTATATATGGGAAGTTGTAATACGGTCACCGGAAAAGTTCGGGGGCATACCGGTATTGTACCGGGGCCACCGGAAGGGTTCCGGGGGTCCACCGGGAGGGGCCACCTCTCCCGGAGGGCCTCATGGGTCGTAGATGGAAGGGAACCAGCCCTTAGAGGGCTGGGCGCATCCCCCCATTGGGCCCATGCGCCTAGGGTTGGGGGGAACCCTAAGGGGGGCGTCCCCCTTGCTTGGGGGGCAAGTCCCCCCCCCCCTTGGCCGCCGCCCCCCCTCTAGATGATCTAGAGGGGGCCGGCCCCCTTCCTCCTCCCCCTATAAATAGGGCAGCGAGGGGAGGGCTGCAAACGCACCTCCAAGGCGCAGCCCCTCCCCTCCCCAACACCTCTCCTCCTCCGTAAGAGCTTGGCGAAGCCCTGCCGGAGTACTGCCTCTCCATCACCACCACGCCGTCGTGCTGCTGTTGGAGCTCTCTTCCTCAACCTCTCCCTCCTCCTTGCTGGATCAAGGCGCGGGAGACGTCTCCACTCCGTACGTGTATTGAATTTGGAGGTGCCGTCCTTTTGGCGCTAGGATCATCGGTGATTTGGATCACGACGAGTACGACTCCATCAACCCCGTTCTCTTGAACGCTTCCGCTCGCGATCTACAAGGGTATGTAGATGCACTCCTCTCTCTCTCGTTGCTAGATGACTCCATAGATTGATCTTGGTGATGCGTAGAATTTTTTTATTTTCTGCAACGATCTCCAACACTTTCTTCATGTCAAATACATATTCCCCAGACTATGAGATTGTGCAACTCCCGAACACCAGAGGAATGCCTTGTGTGCTATCAAACGTCACAACGTAACTGGGTGATTATAAAGATACTCTACATGCATCTCCGAAGGTGTTTTTTTGGATTGGCATAGATCGAGATTAGGATTTGTCACTCCGACTATCGGAGAGGTATCTCTGGGCCCTCTTGGTAATGCACATCATATGAAGCCTTGCAAGCAATATGTGACTAATGAGTTAGTTGCGGGATGATGCATTACGGAACGAGTAAAGAGACTTGCCGGTAACGAGATTGAACTAGGTATGAAGATACCGACGATCGAACCTCGGGTAAGTAACATACCGATGACAAAGGGAATAACGTATGTTGACATTGCGGTTCGACCGATAAAGATCTTCGTAGAATATGTGGGAACCAATATGAGCATCCAGGTTCCGCTATTGGTTATTGACCGGAGAGGTGTCTCGGTCATGTCTACATAGTTCTCGAACCCGTAGGGTCCGCACGCTTAATGTTCGATGACGATATGTATTATATGAGTTATGTGTTTTGGTGACCGAAGGTTGTCCGGAGTCCCAGATGAGATCACAGACATGATGAGGAGTCTCAAAATGGTCGAGAGGTAAAGATTGATACTCCCTCCGTCCCAAAATTCTTGTCTTAGATGTATTTTGATATGGATGTATCTAACACTAAAACGTGAATAGATACATCCATATGTAGACAAATCTAAGACAAGAATTTTTGGACGGAGGGAGTATATTGGAAGGTGATATTCGGACACCGGAAGGGTTCCAGAGTGTTTCGGGTATTTATCGGAGTAACGAGGGGTTATCGAAACCTCCCGGCGGAAGTAATGGACCATATGGGCCATAGGGGAGAGGCAAGGCAGCCCACATGGGGTGGCGCTCCCCCATGGGGAGTCCGAATTGGACAAGGGGAGGGGCGCGCCCCCCTTTCCTTCTCCCTCTCCCTCTCCTTCCCCTTCCCCCCCTCCGATAGTAGGAAGGGGGGCCGAATAGGACAAGGAGTCCAAGTGGGATTCCTCCCCACTTGGCGTGCCCTAGGCTGGCCTCCTCCCCTCTCCCTCTTTTATATATGGGGGCGGGGGGGGGGGCACCTCAAGGCACATCAATTGTTCTTAGCCGTGGGCGGTGCCCCCCTCCACCGTTTACTCCTCCGGTCATATTGTCGTAGTGCTTAGGCGAAGCCCTGCACAGATCACATCACCATCACCGTCACCACGCCGTCGTGATGATGGAACTCATCTAGTCCTTCGACCCTCCGCTGGATCAAGAGCTCAAGGGACGTCATCACGCTGAACGTGTGTAGAACTCGGAGGTGCCGTACGTTCGGTACTTGATCGGTCGGAACGAGAAGACGTTCGACTACATCAACCGCGTTAAGTAAACGCTTCCGCCTTCAGTCTACGAGGGTACGTGGACACACTCTCCCCCTCTCGTTGCTATGCATCTCCTAGATAGATCTTGCGTGAGCGTAGGATTTTTTTGAAATTGCATGCTACGTTTCCCAACACGGGTACATGCTGACGTTCAAGCTGTTGTCCCCCGACACCATGAAGGTGATCGTTTTCAACGACGAGGGCATGGAGGTGGTCACCAAGTGCAAGGAGCACGACAATGCATTCGCCACGATCAACTGAGCTCCTGTGGTCCAATCCTTGGTTGTTCTTACTTTAAGACTTCGGTTTCGGTTAGGACTTATCGTACTGTGTTGGTTTAAAACTTGTTCTGCGTGGTTAAGACTTATGTTTGTGCCAAGATTGTTCTATTGCTACTAGTTTAGTTCGTACTAGTTCATGTGTGCCTTTGGTAACCTCACCGCATCGAGTAGGAGGTTACCACACAACTGTCCTGGATGTAATCAAACAACCGGGCTTGTGTTTCCCATCAAACAAGTCCGGAACCAAACACCAGGCCTTTCGTTTTAGCACATTGAGGCAAAAGGGGATGCACACAACCAAACTAAGTGCAGATGATGGTTTTTTGCCTGCCTTAAATCAGCCTGGCTTAAGTGGGACAAGTATGCAAAGTGTTAAAAAAAGGGTACAGGTAACCAAACCGCCCAGCATTCCATTGATTGTTTTTTTGTGGGTTTATATGCAAAATTTTACTTGGTAGATGTACAATATTAGAGCGGTGATCGTACGCTAACGTTGTTGCCATAGATCACAACCCAGTAACTTGCAACTTGTGCACGACAATGACAAAAAAATTACAGTACATGAGAACAACTATTTTAAATTTTCGATTTTTGTAATGAAGGAGCATTAGCTGGAATATTCTACTTATCTTTCTGTTGCTACTCGAGCCAGAAGAGACTCTCCGCATGCAATGCACCTGCGTGACTCTGTCCATTTAGATGAGAGCCGCTTGCTCCAGCTGTGAATTTCTATTCTGTAATAACATCGACTATTTCAATCTTGTGCTGAACAGTGCCGCGTCAGAACAGCTAAACAAGTATTTTCGCCGTGTTGTCCGTTGTGCATGTGAACGCCAATTGGACAAACAAAGAATGCGTGAGCAAGCAGAGAGCAGAGAGGAGTTAATTAAGGTGCATGCACGCTGCGAAAAACTACGTATTCTAGACTGTCACTGTCGTTTCCTGCGAAATGCATAATATATTAATCTTCATTTGTTAATTTCAAGTGGTCACCGTTGACCACTGTAGCTTGACGCATGCAGCATCCATGTCAGCAAGGTCTCCTATGGGTGAGTAGGAATATTCTTGCACCCGATTAAAAGTAGCACCCGCCACAGGTGACAACCAGGGACGTTTTTTATGACAAGTTTACTTGTGTAAGGACCATAACTTTAGTTTCAAGCATGACAACTTTGTTTTCAGATGGGAAATTTTAGTTTTTTTAATTTGTTTTTTCTTTTTAAATGACAATTTTAGTTGTAATGAATGTTAGGGCTGGATTGCTTTGTGCGACACGTGTGATATTTATCACTTGGATAAAAGTAATGGGTTGTGAAGTTTAGATGTGACATTCTTAAAAAATATTTAAATGTAAATTAGACAAACTGAAAAGTAATCTCTCACGTGATCATGCATGGAACGGAGACTCAACGGCATCAAGAGCTGGATAACCCATATAGTCCTACCATCCATTGGATTTCCCATTCATCTAAAAACATCAAGCACACAGATACAGTCTACAGATGACACCTTTTTCTCGAGAAAAAACTTAAACAAACACAAGTCAAAGAATTTCTACTCACAGCTAAGCTAATCCATTTCACAACTTGGTCTTGAACGGCACATAGTTCTTGAGCGACTGGGTGATCCCCTGGATGGAGGCGACGGTGACGGCGACGGTGACCACGAAGCACGCGAAGCTCAGGGTCTGCAGCGCCACCCACTTCCTGGAGTACTTCTTCATCTTGCTCTGCGAGATGTACATCTCCACGGGGAAGTAGACGGTGAGCGGCCAGAAGCCGAGCGCGCCGAGCAGGCCGAGGATGTCGTTGAAGAATGGCAGCGAGATGGCCAGCACCGTGCTCACGATCACGAACGCCGTCCTCCACACTAGCCTGAACATGTTGAGGCTGAACTTGCCCGAGAAGGGGTAGTACTGCCGGACGACGAACTCCGAGTTGGGCCACCGCCCCGCCGCCCAGCTCTCCACGGCGGCGTAGATGGGCTGGCAGTACACCTGGTAGGCGCCGACGAGGTGCACCACGATGCACACGTTGGCGAAGTCGATGAGCCAGTAGGGCTCGTAGAAGCCGAAGCCGGTGAGCATGTTCCCCGGCGCGTCGTTGCCGAAGGCCGAGTAGCCGAGGCACCCGCAGAGCATGTAGAAGGCCGTGGTGGTGGAGACCCCCATCAGGTTCGCCTTCCTCATCGTCTTGTTTTCGGCCGGCGGCGCCTTCACCGTGTCCTGCAGCATCAATTCCCACATATATAGACGCTATTAGTGACCGTGACTTATGGGTGCCAACGTGTGTGCACTGAATCTTTGTGACATTCGTACCTGAATTTCTATAAGAACCATGGAGTATGAGTAGGCGAAGGCGATGTTGCCGAGCGCTTGCAATGTCAGCCATATCTTCTGGGCCGAAGTGACGTCCACCCCAATTTGAGTGCCGCCAATGGTTGTCTTGCCCGTAGGACCTGCCAATTGCCAATTAGATCGAACACATGCAGACACAAAGTTACACCGGGCAAGAGAGAATGGGCTCGGGCAAGAGAGAATGGGGTAATGCATTGATCTCTTGGTGGGAATGTTCTTCATCCTCTACCTGTTATGGTCTGTGCCAAGGAGAGGCCCACGCCGATGGTGGCGTAGGAGAAGGACATGACGGCGGCGAGAATCGACAGCCAGGCCATCTCGTGGAGATTGGGGAGCTGGGAGAAGACGATCTGGGAGATCCCAAACACGACCATGTACATGGTGGTGTACACGCCGCAGTCGGCCGAGTGGCCTTTGCTGTGGAAGCAGTTGGCCTTGTACAGAGCCCTGTATGAACATCCCCCCAAAACCACAAAACAGTGAGATCAACCGATTATCATAAACGGCATGCCATGAATTAACTTAACTGAAAATTACTGCATCAGAGCAAGGTCAGCTGACTTACGCTGCACTGATGGATGCTGTAATGGTGTACCCGATTGCAGTCCCAACGAGATTAACGTACTGACAGAGGCCGCAAAACCACACCTGCCCTTTACCTACACACATGATCGAGCAGGTAAATAAACAAGATGATGTAAACATTGCCTGAACTCGCAGAGAATTTAATGGCGTGCTCACGCGAGAGGCATGGGGTGGAGGGGGAGGTCCGCGTGCGTACCTAGGAGGGACCCGACGGCCTCCATGTAGGTGTAGTTCCTCTTGCCGGTGACGGCGTCTTCGCTGCGGTAGCAGTCGCCGAGGAGCACGGAGGTGTAGTAGGTGATGAGGGCGAAGAGCAGGAGCGTGACCGGGCCGGCGACCCAGCCCAGCTGCGCCACGGACCAGGGCAGCGACAGCACGCCGGAGCCGATCACCGCCGTGATCACGTGCGCGCTCGCCGTCCACACCGTCCCTGCTCAACCAACCCGCGGCCGATTCAGTCAAGAAACCCGAGATTGGTCTGCACAACGCTCGCGACGCATGCGCGCATGCCAGCGGCGCGATTTGTCGCGAGAGGGAGCGAGAGAGAGAGGGAGGGGTCGGTTTGGCTTGCCTGTCCGCCTGGGCTTGCCGTCGTCGTCGAGGGAGTCGTCGGCGGCGATGACCCGCTGCCGAGGGTCCCCCGCCGGCGCCGGAAGCCCCCCGATCTCGACATCGCCGCCGCCTACCCGGGCCATCGTCTGCGCTGGACTGGTGCTGCGTGTGAACAGCTAGCGATCGATGCGCCAGGCGGTCTTATAACGCAGCGACCGATTTACTCCTTTATTACTTCCTGGATGGAATCGATCGGCCCAGTTGCCCAAACCGGCTGGCATATGGTTTGCGCCGAATCCAGACAGATTCACAGGAGCCGTGTCCAACTTGGTTATTTGTAGGTTTGGAACCTAGTCGTGATCAACGTTGGTTACACGAATTCGTTTTTTAAAATTTGATTGATGATTGATTGGTTAATCCCGGATTCCGTTGTTATCTATAGTTGTTAGTTAGTTAGGGCCACGCGGCCCACGCCTTCGGGTCTCTGAGCCGTGTAGGGAACTCGATCAAAAAGATTGATACAGTTTTTGCCAGTTTCAGATTTAAAAGATCAGAACGATCAGATTACTTGATTATATCTATAAAGAGTCAAAAAAGAGAAAAAAGAGAAAAAAGAGAAAAAGAGAATGACTACATCTGACTGTTCTGATGCGTTGACAAAAATGCTGGATCAACGGAGAAGATGCGGCCCACCGTATAGTGACATGCATGCCATGTCTCCGTCACAGAGTCCGCGGGCTACATCAGCTGCATTGCTTAGCTCATGAACCACCGCTCGGAGGAGGAAGAGTTTTCTTCTTATTATTTTTCTGAAACTGGAGGAGAAAGAGTTGACCGCGGCAACACACGGCCGCTATCTGCAACGTGAACATGGACCGGCTGATAGCTAGTAGGAGTACTATTGACTAGTCTTGGTGTGCGTAGCGTGTACGTAGCGTCGCTGATCGCCTGCTCTCTAAACGCATCCACATGCATACACGTTTTTTTTTTTGCGGGGACACATGCATGCACGTTGCTATGACTTGTAATCCGCACAATCGTGTTTCTACTTCAAACATATAAAGTGAAGACATGTTAAGAGCAACTCCAGCAGACAACGCAAAGCCTTTTAAGACTTATGATTTCTATTAATGAAAATAGGAGAGATGTCTCTCTTTTATCAAAAAAAGAGAGAACAGATAACGCAAACCAAGCCGTCCCATAGAAAATGGTTGTTTTAGAGTTCTCGGGGAAAACGCGACCTACAAATCTCTACTCCTATAGGGGAGTTGATAGTCTCGTCTCACTCCCACCAACCCGTCGGCATTACACCCGTGAGTGTCTTACAGACGACATTTCGCTCAAGCATAATCAATTTGGACGGGCCCATTTGACGCGTGCATTAACTCAATTAAGTTGGCACTTTCCCAAAACAACTTCAAGCATTAACTCGTTCAAATCGAATCTTAAGAAAATCACAACTAAATCCAAACTTTACTTGCCTCTCATTACTCATACCCAAATCAAATCAAATCTTGCCAAGACATCAACTATAATCAAATTTGGCCGGCCCATTTGGCGCGTGTGCACATTTTTTTCTCGATATTTCTTCCTTTTTTCTTTTTTTTTCGCTTCATTTTTTCTGCGACCAATTGGTTGGGTTTTTCTCGACATACTATCAGAATGAGCACAAACTTGTACATCATGGTGAGTTGGTAGCGTCGCCTTCATTCCGGTTAAACCTACCCCCACATATGTTCTTTCCCCACCAATTTATTTACATGCCAATTTACATGATATATATGGAGGAATACTTCTTTTTTCGCATACATGTTTTACATCACTTGCTCTGCCCGAACACGCGCCGGACCTAAAACCCCATTTTACCGTATATACGTTACAAACTTCTGCGGTATCTGCTAGAGTTGCTCTAAGTACATAGAACCACATTTCACTGATAACATGCATGTTTTGAGCCACGCGGCCCAGACGTCGGGTCTCTGAGACGTGTAGGGAACTCAAAGACTTATGATGCTGTTTTATTATTAATTAATTTCAGCATGTTCAGGAGATTACATCTAATAGCTGTTCTGATGTGCTGGGAAAAATGCAGGTCAACGGAGAAGATGCCGCCCGCCATTTGACATCCCATGTCTCCGTCACTACAGCCTGCAGGCAACATCATCTGCGTGGCTCGTCAACCGCTGGAGGATGAAGAGTTGAATGCTCGGCTCTAACACGGTGTCGTCTGTGATCTGAACACCGGATCGGCTGGTGGCAAGCAATTAACTAGTCCTGGTGTACGTAGCGTAGAGCCGCCAATGCGTGCTCCCGAAACGCATTCACATGCATGTTGCTCCCTCCCCGCTTGTCTTGTTCCAGTTTCCGGCAACAGGGAATCCGCACGGGTGTGTGGCCAGGTAGAGAGATGGGAGCGTGTGCGGCTCGGTTGCCCTCGCCGGCGACCTCTCGGGCGATCCGATTCTCCCAGCTCCACTGACTGAACGAACCACGATGGATTCACCACACAAGAACAAGTAGATAGACACCGAAAGAGGGGGTGGTTTCAGGTACCAGCTCACGGTTCCCGGCACAAGTTCTTGGGACCGAACTTAATTCTATCAAGTAGTCAGGGTTCTAGTTCCAGGATACACCAACTTGATGAACAAGATGATGCCCCGATCGACAGAATGGCGGCAAGTTTTATATGGAATGAAACTGCAGTTCGGTAATTCAAACAGCCGGTGGTAACTGGTTCTTTTTTCAAGAACACGCAAAGGGCATCTTATATCTTATATAATGATTATTATTTTGCGAGGAAACTTTCAATCTATTCATTAACCGTCAAGGTAGTATAAAGAACATCAGAAGTAAAAAATACATTCAGGTCCGTAGACCACCTAGTGGCGATTACAAGCGTTGGAGTGAGCCGAAGGTCCGCTGTCGTCATCGCCCCTCCTCATCGGAGCCGGTCAAATCTTGTTGTAGTAGATAATCGAAAAGTCGTCGGCTAAGGCCCATAGAACTAGCGTACCAGGACAGCAACCGTCGCTGATGGAGATATGCGTAGATCAGAAGAATCCAACCTGTAGACAAATGAACACAAACAAACGAAGATCGGATCCGCGTGGATCCATCGAAGACAAACGCCGACCGAATCCTGCGAGATCCGTCGGAGATAAACCTCCACACGCCCTTCGACGATGCTAGAAATACCATCGGAACGGGGGCTAGGTGGGGAGGACTTTATTCCATCTTCAGAGAGCCGCTGCCGCCTCGCCTCTCTGAGTAGGACACAAACCATAAGAAAACTCAAAAAACCATCTGAAAACGAAGCCCTCCCGTCGGCAAGGGTCGGGATCCACCGCGCTTCGATGACCCTAATACCATAGAAGACGAGATAGACCGGCGGCGCCGCTGACGGGAGGCACGAGAAGCCCTAGCGCTTAGGGTGCCCTCACATACAGGTGCGAAGGGGTACGCATTGCGTTATTTGCATAATTATTAAAAATCAATAGATATTACAATGAAAAGACAACAAGATATAAATGATCAATCAAAATAATAAAATTATACCAAAAATTATGCTCCAGTTAACTACATTGTGTTAGCTGAATTTAACTAGTACAATTACTCTAGTTAACGACAACGACAAGTATATAGAAGATAAACAGTGGAGCCCGCTTACGATCATAGTCGTTCAACGTGACTTAAGTGAACCCATCGGAGGCCTCCATCCACTCTTCATACCGGTTCGCTTCTTCTTCATTGTTGCCATTGAATTCTCCGAACATCAATAGGTTCAGACTTTCCTTATCCTAACACGCACCGGACAACCTTCCCTAGGGGAGAGCTCCCGACCTCTGACACCATTTGCGTGGATTCGCATCCCGACGGTCGATAGTGGGACCAGTTTTGGGTTATAGGTGAATACTACGACTCCAACTCTGACAATAATGTCGTTCTCCAGGGGAAAAAGTTGTGATGTATTCGGTCGTGTTTTGTCTCTAAGACAGAGCAAATGGTGGCTAGCCCATCCTTGACCAGCAGTCGGAGAAGGGTACAATCTTCATCCCACGAGGACGATGACCGGTGATTCACGGATCACGGTGGTGGCCAAAATTGTCCCTTCCGTAACCCGCACCTCACCGTGCCTTTGCACTCCTCCGACATCCTTCCTCTCGAGTGGTGTCACTCCCTCTAATGTCCTAGGCAACAACTTTGTCATCTTCTTCGGTGCCAACAGCGGCGGGGACAACAAAGGTGGAATCGTAGGGTTTCTGTTGGTCCTCCATTGCGGGTGGGCCAGCTAGCCCTTAGGCCTTCCTGGCCATGCCACATCCAACCTCCACCTAATGATTTACTGTCCGTGTTGCTTGAAAATGTGTTTCCTGGTTTATTTGAGCCGATGTCCTTGAAAGTGCATCTCTTAGATATGCCTATTAGATTTCCGTGATTAATGGCATGACAATGTGTGGACTAACCGTTTATCAAGTTTTATTTCAGGAATCCCTATCAATCTGTGGGCATCATTTGTGTCCCCTGCCTCCAACTTTTTGAGATGTTGCCTACATCAAGCATTAGATTTTAATTTATAGTCTTTTAGTGAATCCAAGATTTGCTTTGAGTGTTTGAAAAATGTTCAATAAGTATTAAAAATATTGAACGAGCATATGAAAAATGTTGAGTA